GGGGGGGCCAACGGCTCCATTCTCATCCCATGAGAACCCAAACAATGATTGCGTGGAAGCGTCGGAAGCCTCCCATCGTTGGTGATGCAGGGGGGCCGAGGGCGAGCTTTGATGGGGCCGAGCCACAGCCCCAGCGGGGCCGAGATCCCCTGCAATCCGGAGGTTTTGGGGCTGATGACACTGCAGGATTTCTCTCACAGCTCTCCGTTCCACGACGCACAAATAACGACCCCCCAAACCCCACCACGCATTGGAGCTGTCGCTCCCGCATGGATCTCCCATCAGGGTTGCTCTGCACATCGCTGCCCTCCGGGCCTGGGCTCAATTCTCCCCCGCAGTCATTCCACTCCCTTGGAGCTGTGTGAGCCTTTGTTTGCACAAGGCCCGTGGGAGATGCTGTGTGCCAACGCCAGGCTCGGGGTTTTTCCACCCTGGGACGCACGGCGGCTGTTGGCACCCCTTGGTTTGGTGGCTGTGGGTCCCGGCTCTTTTGGGGATGGATGTCAATGCTGTGCTCACCAGGATGACCCTGGAGATGGGACAGCAGGAGGTGTTGGCATCCCATATGGGACCCCAGGGATGCGTGGATGGGGACGGAGCCCCGTCACTGACTGCTCCAGCACTCAGAGGATAATGGGGTCCCTCGGTGTGGCAGCGCCGTTCCCTGGTGCGTGCACAGATGCCCCCCATCCCTTCCCAAACTGGGAGCTGAACAACTCCTAGCACCCCGTTAAGGATGGTTCCCTGAGGCTTGGAGATGAGTGGAACCCAACCACCCATAGCGGAGCATCCGAGCGGAGGGGAAAAGGCAGCGCTCAGCGGGTTTGGAGACAATGCCCCGGGATTAAAGGCTGCAGAACTGCTCTGCTGCATTGCCAGACAGTGAGGGGATGCCGTAATCCCTCGGTTTTTGGCACTGTCCAAAGCGTGGGGTGGGGTGGGGGTGCATCTGTGTAGGGTTGGATGCCCTGGAAGGGCGACCCAGGGTGCCGTGTTTGGAGCATCTCCATCCCAAACCCCTTTGGAAGGGATGCAGGAGGAAGGAAGGGACGGCTGCCCAGGATTCCCTACTCGTGTTCTCGCCTCTCCAGGGGTGTTGGAGGGATGGGGGTGGTTACATCTGGGAGTCCCCTGGTGCTGGCACGGCCCTCTGCCAGATGGAGGAATGTGCATTAAGGCTCACGCTGCTGTTTGTTTGTGCTGGGTTTGCTTCTAACCTGGTTTTACCCCGACGCGGAGCAGCACGCAGCCATCCGGGTCCTGGCAGGAAAGCGACGACCCCAAGAGAGAGCGTTGGAGGTGGTGCTGCAGGACCTGCGGTGCTTGGGGGGGGGGGGGGGGGGGCCGGGGCGCCGCAGCCTGGTGCTCGTAGGGCACGGTGCGATCAGGGGGGGTGCAATGGGGAGAGCGGTGCCCCCTGTGTGGGCATCGGCTTCGTGGGACCCCCGTGCCTCCCTTTGCACCCCCACACCCAGCCCCGTCTCAGGGTCTCTGCTTCAGTGCTGCACCCCAGGATGGGGACGGCGAGCAGCGGCTCCCCGCTGCCTTTCCTCGCCCAGGGAGCAGCAGTTTCTCACCGTGCTTTCGGAGCAGCGCAGTGTGGGACCCCATGGGGGCACTGCAGCCCCACAGATCCGTCTGGCAGAGGCAGAAGCTCTGGGTGTCAGCGATGCTGCGCTGCTCGGAGGGATCCCGGCGCCGCGGCACTTCGCTCGCTGGGCAGCAGAGATCCTTAAAACAGAACTGTCAAAGCAAAGAGCTCGTTTCCTTGGCAACGGTCGGAGATGGGAGAGTTGTTTTTTAGCTCCTGCCCCTCGGGCCGAGTGGATTTTGGCTGTTTGTTGGCAAATAGGAAGGAGAACCCCTGGAAGGGGTGGGGGGGGGGGGGTCACCCCCCCCCAGGTATGGGGCGGAATGGGGGCTGTGGGAGGCTGGGGGGGCGGTGGGATCCTTCCAGTGGAGTGTTCTGGGGGGGAAATTCAGTTGGAAATGGGGAAGGAAGAGAAGGGAGGTTTGTTGGAAGCCCACGAGGTCCGTTTGGGCAGAGCTTGGGGCCGGCTGTGGGGCAGGGGCTGTTGGGGCTGCTTCCAACCCACCCTGCGGTTCGTTGTGCGCAAAAACGGGGAGGGGGCTGCTGCGGTGACCCATGGAACAGCCGTCACCGTGGGACCACGTTGTCCCAGAGCCTACATCAGCCTTTGGGGCTGTGGGGCAGGTTGGGCTGCTGACCCACAGGAAGAGCCCTGGTGCCGTGGGGTGACGATGAGAGGAGCCTCCTGCGGTCCCACAGCTCAGCTGCTCTCCTCTTCTGCTGCTCCCTCATCGATCTGTGGATGCGTTTCAGCTTCTTAACCTTGACCTGATGTCACACGTGGCCAACAGCTCCCACCTCCCCACAGCAGCACAGGGGCCCCGCGGTGCCCACAGCACGACCCGGCTCTGCCCTGCTGCTCTCAGCGCTGTGAGCAGCCCTGCCAAGCTCCGAGCTTCCACCTGTGGGGATTTGGGCTCTCTTTTGCTTTGCCCTTTCCTTGAAGCCGAGTTCTGTGCATGTCTGCCTTCGGAGGAAGGATAAAAATCGCGGCGTTTGGGGTCAGGTTGGTTCAGGTCGCGCTTGAGGGCGCTGTGGCTCTGCGGGTGCTCGTGGGGACGCTGGGTTTGCTCACCTCTGCCTCCGTGTCACCGCTGGAGCTCACCCTGTGCCGCAAGGACTCACCCGCTGCAGAGCTGGGAATTGTGCACAGCCCCGTCTATGCGTTCCGAGCTGCCTTTCCGGGGCTGTTTGCCTCCATTCCAATGGACGTTCCGTTGAATCCTTTGCTCCGTGCGAGGCTGGGATGGGAAGGAAGCTGCCAGAGGGACATTTTAGCACCAAGAGATGCAAACTGGGATGGATCCGGTCCCCTTCGCTGCAAAGCAGAACTTGGGAGCCTTCCCAAAGCAGCCGCGTGCCAGAGCCCCTGCGGCAGCCCGTGGGGACGGTCCGAAACTGCCGGCACCGCTCTGAGCCCGGAGCTCCATCTGCTTCCTCCCCTCCCGCTGCCCGCACGGCGCGGAGCCCCACGTCGGTTGCGGGGTGTCGGAGCGCCGTCAGAGCGTCGCTGCCGGTCGAACAGCAGCGGGCGGTGCGTGCGGGATGGCGCTGAGGCCGTGCGTGGAGCAAACGGGGTCGGCGGCGGCACCGCGGAGCGAGCGGGGCTGGGGGCGGCCCTCAGCGAAGGCCCTCGTGCAGGAGGAAGGCTGCGAGGAGGAGGAGGAGGAGCGGCGCCGAGCAGATGCATCGAAACCAGGGCAGCTTTTCCTCCTCCCATCACAAAAGCTGGAGTGTTTGGAGCAGCCTGGAAGCCGGGCTGCAGGCATCCCAGGCTGTGGATTCGCGCTCGGCTCCAACCAACCTGCGCGGCAGATGTCGGAGCTGAGCGGTTTGGGATGGATTTTGGGGGAGCCAAGAGAGGTGGGGACGCTGCTTTTGCCGCTCGTAGCCGGGATGGCAGCGCCCTGCAGAAGTGCAGAGGTTTCATTAACGAAGCACTGATTATTATTATTATTATTTTTTCCTGGAGCGTTTCTCTGGGTTTTGATGCGCTGGAACGGGCGCAGCAGCTCTCGGCCAACAGCACCGCGGTGCTCTGGGGGCGCAGCCGGGCTGCCTTCTCCTCCCCGAGGGTCCCATCCGGCTGTCGGAATGCCTTCATTGCCGCAAAACTGCGTCTCCCACCACCGCGGTCGGGCGGAGGAGGAACGTGGAGCTGAGGATCTGCTTCCCCCTCCTGGAGATGTGCGAGAGGAGCGCAGAGCGCCGTGCCGGTGATGGGCGGCGCGGGGCGAATGGGCGACGTCGCATCCGTGCTTCTTTCCCACCCCGAAAATCGGACCGGGATTTTTTTTTTTGGGGGGGGGGAAGCTGTTGGGACCCGGAGCGGAACGCTTGCAGCTGTCGGGGTGGGGATGCGCTGCGCTGAGAGCTGCCGGATTCGGATCTCAGCGGCCTCCTGGCGCTCGGTGTCCCCGCGCTGCGCTCCCAGGGATGGCGGAGCTGAGGGGCGGGGACGAGGCTTTGTCCCCATTGCGTTGGATCGGGACGGGGAGAAGCTCGCGGGTCCCCGCGGTGTCGCTGTCCCCGTTCCATCAAGGGCCCGACGGGTTGCAGCCGTGCCGGGTTTTAACGAAAGCGGAGCCGTGCCCGTCTGCTGCGCCAAGCTGTCGATGCAGAGGCGATTGGGGATGTGGGGCTACGGGGAGCCCCCCCCCGGGGCAGCCTATGGAAATCCAAAGGGGGATCCCGTGCTCAGGATGGGGGTCCCGAGGTTGGGGTGCAGGGGAGGAGCAGTGGGGCTCTGCTGTTGCTCCCCGGGGGCAAAGCATGGCGGTGACCCCAGTGTCATCACGGGGATCGCGGTGACCCCGCGCCCTCGTGCTGCTGTCGAACCCATCCCAGGGTTAATTCCTTAATGAGGCCGGCGCTGTGGCAGGTGATGGTAATTGCGTTAATTGAAAGGTTGGGTCTGTAGTCTGCTGCGTGGGCGCTGCGCCCCGTCCTCGATGGGAGTCGGAGCGCTTTGAGTTTGGATAACAGCGGCTTGGAGCGGCCTAATCCCTTAATTAACAAATTAAAACAAGCCGACTGCCATCACCCTGCCCAGAGGAGCAGCACTGCTGCTGTCCCAGGCCGTATCCCCAGGGTTGGGGCTGGAGAACCTCCTGAGGACTGTGCTGAGTGAGCTGGAGCCAAACTGGCTGCAGATGGAGGGAGGACGAGCGACGGCACCATAAAGGCCCGCGAGGATGGAGGTGGGAAGCAGAGGCCCTTCAGCAGCTGAAAACCCCAGCGAGTGCAGAGGAGCGGAGTTCCATCACTGTGATGTAGGAGCATCAGCAACCCAGGGACGGAGCCTTGAACCCTGGCAATGGTTTTCCATCCAGATTTGGTGTCTTTGCAGTATTGAAGTTCTCGTGTGTTCCGAAGCTGCTGTGGGATTCACGTGCTTTCCAGCCTGGAGTTCATTGCATCGTTAAGGTTGGAAAAGACCACTAAGATCCTCCAGTCCAACCATCGGCCCCCCTCCTCTGTGTCCACTTATAGGGTTGCTGTGGTTGGAAAAGAGCAACGAGGTCATTCAGCCCAAGCACCAACCTGTGTCCAACCACAGAGCCATCAGCTCAACACCAGTCTGGGAAGCTCGGCGCCCTCGTCCCCCTGCCCTGCTCGGCCCTTTCCGTCCCTTCCTGCGACAGCTTTGTGGAATTTACAATGTCAGCAGAAGAAAACGTTTCCCTCCGTCGTTCTGGGCAGAAAATGGAGAAATTCAGTCTGCTTCTGCTAAGGGGAGCTGCTCCCAGCCAGCGAGAATCACGCGGGGAAATGAGGCCGTGAAATGAGGATTGCTCACAGGGCAGCCTTGAGCTTGAGCCCTAAATACGAGTGCTGAGATGTAAGACAACGCTCCGCAGAGCCCCACATCCAGCATGGGATGGAGGTTGCGTCCGACCTCCAGGCTGGGCAAGCTGACATCTCCCTTCCCCGTGGGGCAGCACGGCGCGGCGGCCGTCCCAAAATAGCCGTCCTTGGGGCAGCTGGGGTTATCTGATCCTCCTGCTGCTCCTCTCTGCCCTTGGGCTGCTTGGCGGCGATGTCTGCGCGAAGGAAACGCGGGTTGGGAGGGATGTGCAGAGCTCAGGAGCCCGTAGGATGGATACGGGGCCCAAATTTGGGGGTGAGAGCCCGAGGCGCCCTCCCTGAGCTCTCCTCTCTTGCGTGCAGTGAGCCAACCCACGACGTCGGATGAGACGGTGGTGGCTGGTGGCACAGTGGTGCTCAAGTGCCAGGTGGAGGACCCTGATGACTCCTCGCTGCAGTGGTCCAACCCTGCCCAGCAGACCCTCTACTTTGGGGAGAAACGAGGTGTGTGCGCAGGGCGGGCAGAGGGGAGGTGGATTGGGGGCGAAGCTGGTCGTCCATCCCCACCTACGGGGAGCGCGGCGGCGTTGATCGCTCACCCCTCGTCCCCTTGTCGTCCCCCAGCCCTACGAGACAACAGGATCCAGCTGGAGAGGTCCACACCCAACGAGCTGACCATCAGCATCAGCGACGTGGTGCTGTCGGATGAGGGGGAATACACCTGCTCCATCTTCACCATGCCCGTGCGGACCGCCAAGGCCCTCGTCACCGTGCTGGGTGAGCAAAGGCCCCCACCGACCTCCTCTCTGTGTCTGCCCCGTGCGCAGGATGCCCCCCATGTGGCCCTTTAGCTCTTCTATCCCACATCCCCGCCCTGTAACGCGTCCTCGCCATCGAATCATTAAGGTTGGAGAAGAGCCATCGAGGCCAACCGTCAACCCGTTCCCACCTGTGGAATCATTGGGGTTGGAAAAGACCCCCGGGGTCATGGAGTCCAACCTTCAACCCGTCTCGTGTCTCTTCACCTCCAGACAGCAGAGCTAACGGGTCGTTGTCTTTCTCACCTCTTCCTCTCCCAGGAATCCCCCAGAAACCCCAAATCTTTGGCCACGAGCAGCCCATCGACGAGGAGAAAATCGCCCGGCTCACGTGCCGGTCCTCCGGCAGCAAACCTGCAGCGCAGCTCCGGTGGAAGAAGGGCAACAAAGAGCTGAAGGGTGGGTGATGGGGGCTGGGGGCACCGTGGGGGCACCGTGGGGTACTGAGGTTTGCCCAGTGCTGGACCACCCCAGCTGCACCATCCCACTCTCCTGCCAACGATGGGATGTGGCTGGGCGTCCTCTGCTCAGCCCTCTGTGGGGACGTTGTGAGCGTCACCTCCCAACACCCCCCTGTCCCCACAGCTGAGGGCACCGAGGTGGTGGAGGACTCCAATGGGAAGACCTTCACCGTCAGCAGCCGGGTGGAATTCCGTGTCACCAAGGAGGACAATGACGCCGAGGTGACCTGCACCGTGGACCACGAGTCCTTGCAGAACTCCGAGAGGTCAACCACACAGAAGCTGCAGGTCCACTGTACGTGGCGTGAAGGGACCGGAGGCCACCTGGGGAAGGGGAGGGGGCCAAAGAGAGGTGGGAGAGGCGGGGGGGGACCTCGCAGTCACCGCACGTGGCCCTGTGTCCGCACCAATGTGGGTCCGATGTGGGGGGATGCTGTGTGATGTCACCTCCCCTGCCCATCCCTGCCCCCTGGGACCTCCCTGTCCCCATCGTCCCGTGCCCCTCTTGTCTCCATCTCCCCCAGTCCCACCTCGGGGGCAGGATGGGGGATGTGGGAGCTGATCACACGTGGACGCTCTCACACCGCACCCCCGGCGTGATGGTGGTGGGGGGATATGGGGCAGGGTTTGGGGTGCCAGCTATGGGGACGGGGCAGCTCTCTCACCCCACTGCTCCCCTTCCAGACAAACCAACAGCGAAGATCGAACCGCACCCGCAGTACCCAAGGGAAGGAGAGAAGCTGCAGCTGCAGTGTGACGGGCAAGGCAACCCCGTGTAAGGACCCCCAGCTCTCCCCACCGCCCCCTTCCCACCCATCCACACGCCCCAAATCGCTGCTTACCCCTCCGTGGGGCTGGGGGTCTCAGCTCTAAGCTGAGATGCGGGCTCCCATTTGCTCTGCCCCGCATCCTGCAGAGGGCGATTTCCTCCCCCCGCAGCACCCAATAACAGATCACAGAAAGATGGAACGAGTTTGGGTTGGGGGGAGAGGGGGACGACCTCGATGACCGCCTCGGGTGGCTGCAGCCCCTCTCCTCCACCCCCCACGATGCTGTGGGGGGGACGCAGCGGTGCCTGACCACATCCCACCCCGCAGCCCCCAGGAGTTCCTATGGGAGAAGGAGGGCAGTGATGCTCCGCTGCAGCTGAGCTCCGACAGCATCCTCATCTTCCCCTTCCTCAACAAGAGCGACAGCGGCACCTACATCTGCACGGCCACCAGCTCCATGGGCAGCGTCATCGCCAAGTACAACCTGGACGTCAGCGGTACGGCGGTGGGGTGAGGGGGGGGGGGTCGTTATGGGGGCACGGCCCGCTTCGGCCCCACGGCTTGGAGCATCCCCTGCTGCATCCAGGCGGTGCCTGCGCTGTGCTGAGCTGCTGGGGTGCAGAGCTGAGCTCCCATTGCTGCCTCCTGCTGCCCTGGCCGCGCTCTACTTGCTGTCGCTGTGCCCCACTGCGCTGCGTCTCCCCCCCCCGCCTCGTGGGGTAGCTCTTTTCCTGAGCTTCTAGGTCTGGATTTGGGGTCCTCCTCCTTTTCTCCATCATCCTCTCCTCACTCTCCACCAGCTTTGGGCTTTTCCATCTTCCAGCACCCCTCCTGCTCTGGCTTTTCCCCTTCCCTCCCCTCTTGTTTTCTTGCCCCCAACCCCCTCCTTCCCCTTTGAAACGGCTGTGGCTGACAGGAGCGCATGGCAGCGATGCGTCCCACCCCACACGATCCATCCTCAGCAGCCCCCTGCCTTTGCCCACCCCGTGTCCCCATCACCCCTGGTGCAGGGTCCCACTCCTGCACCCACCCATTGCCCACCCACCATCCCCCAGGATGCCCTGTGCCCCCCACCCGCTCCGTATCGCCGCATCCAGGCATTGCTTTCTCCCATCCTCAAATCCCCAAAGCCACAGAGCTCTTGGGGCACCATCACCAGAGCAGCCCTATGGCCCAGCCAGCACAGGTGGCACCCAGCGCTGGGTGACCCACGCAGGAGGGTCCTGTGGGTCCCTCAAGGGGCTGCTGGCAGGTAGGACACTGCAGTGGTGTCCCTGATTTGACCCAGAGGCAGGAAGAGAAGTGGGGTGGTGGAGAGTCCACCGCTGCCAGGGTCCCAACCGTGGGCTCTGTCCCTGCCGGGGGCTGATTGCTGTCCCTGTGTTTTTGTCGTCCTCCCCAGATCCTTCCCAGCTCCCCACCCCACACGTTCACTCCACTCCAGCCCCTCCGCCAGGCCCTTCCCAGCCCATCTCTCATGCTTCCATGGCCACCGCTTCATCCTCCAGCTCCCATCCAAGGTACCGTACGCTCCATTTCTGTCTCTTTATGGACCCGCTGCTCCTCAGCTGGAGACGATGTCAGGAGGATGGTGGCCCCGTGCAGGGTTAGGGACGCTTTGCCACGTGCCCAGCCAGGCTCTGAGCCCTGCTTGGTGCCACGGGGACAACACGATCCTCCCCTTCCATCCCATTGCATCGCCGCTGCCATGCGAACAGCTCTGGTGCCACCGCGTCCGTCCATCCGTCCCCCGTGTCCGTTCTCCTCGTCTTCCCCCGTTGTTTTTTCCACCTTCTCTTTGTCTGATGTCCCCTCTGAGAGTTGCCACAGCTCCGTGCCCCCACTGCACACCAGGGGATGGTGGCAGCAGAGCCATCGTGCAGCGCTGGTGCTCACAGCAGGCAGAGCTTTGCCCATCTCCACGTCACCATCACTGCTTTCCCCCCACGCTGCTTCACCCCAGCTCCGCTCCTCCCCACCTTCTGCCTCCTCAGTGCTGCACTGAGCGGGAGCCGGGGCGAACCGCAGCCTCCCCTCCCCTCTCTCTGCTTTCTCCCCCTTCCATCTCCTGGGCAGACGCCAGTCCGGTGCCGTCGACTTCCAGCACTTACCACGCGGTCATCGGCGGAGTGGTGGCCGTCATCGTCTTCCTGCTGCTCAGCCTCCTCATCGTGCTGGGACATTACCTGATCAGGCACAAAGGTACGGGGATGCGGGACGAAGGGAGGCGACAGGCAGCGGAGCCCCCCCCCAAGGTTGGGTTTAGGGGCCGCTCTTCAGCTCCGTGCCGACCTCGAGCTGCCCAGCTCCACCTCCATCCCCCACCTCCATTCCTCCTCCTCTCCCCTCAATGCGCCCTCAGCCCCACAGCGCCCCACCGATCGATTTCCCCCTTTCTCCTCTCCCTCCCCTTCCCATCATTTCCACCTCCCCACCCCTTTTCCATCCCCCCCGGCAGGTGTGTGCATAAGACACGGGGAGACCATCACCGCCAGACCGCAGCAAAACCCACCCGAGGTGGTGATGTGTGAGTAAGAGCCCCCCATCCCCACCCCACCTCCTCCTCCCGCAGGAAAACCTCAAAGGGAACAGGGACGGAGGGTCAGGGTGGGCAGAACCACGCAGGAGGGCCGTTGCCCCTCTGCTGTAGAGCCGACAGCATCGGCTGCTTCGTGCAGCCCGGTCCCCGGTGGGGTTTTTCCCCCACACAAAACCCGTTTCTTCCATTTCAGGCTAAGGCCGAAGGATTTCTCCCAGCCACGGTGGCCCCGTTGTGCCACCCATCCCACGTCGGTGACGTTGTCCCCTGTCCCTACAGGCACCTACCTGACCCACGAGGCCAAGGGCTCCGATGACGCTCCGGATGCCGACACGGCCATCATCAACGCGGAGGGCGGCCAAGCGGGCGGCGACGACAAGAAGGAATATTTCATCTAAAGGGCGTCGGAGAGGGTGAGAAATGGAGCCAGCGAACCCCGATGGAAACGGAAACCAGACCACAAACCCCACTCAACCCAACAGATTTACTCTCGTGCCCGGCACGGGCGGACGGATGGACGGACGGACGGAGGGATGGCGGGACAGAGAGCAGAGAGCGACCGGCTGAGACGTGATGATGCTTCTTGTTGAACTTGTACAAAACGTTGTTACTACGAACAGCGAAAGCCCCGTTTGCTTGCTTGCACCTCCAACCCCGCGCCCGGCGCTCGCGCGAAACACAGACCAAGCAGTGAGTGAGCGACGTTCCTTCTTCCTTCGGACCTTTGCTTCGGTTTCGTGGCTGCTCTTTGCTTTGGGCCCTCGGTTGGGGTGTCGGGCTGGGGTCGATGTAGCTCTTTTCCTTTCGTTTCTCTTCCGTTTTGGGTTTTCGTTTTTGATGCCCGAGGATAAAATCAGCTCCGGGCTCTGCGTCGTCGGTGCTCCCACCGAGAGCTGGGACGCCCCCGTCGTCCCCGGTCCGTAGGGATGGGGTTTGCTGTGGACCCCGCATCCCTGCCCTGATTTTATCCTTGCTGCTCCTCATCCGACAGCGTCTGCTGGGGAGGCGAGCTGCCCTCGTGCCGGCGGTGTGTGAAGGGGCTGAGATTCCAGGGTGGGAACTGCAGAAGCCTCCGGAGATGCTGGGAGCTGCCGGGCACCGCGGCCGCCCCCATTCCCATCCAGTGGGAGGAGGGGGGAGGGCAGGGTTTGTGGGAGGCGAATCGAGGGGGGGGAAAAAAGAAAAGTGAACGAAAAAGCCCCAGTTTGCAAATTCCCAGATTGGAGACGTCAATTCAAACCATCTATTGAGATGTTCAGTGCTGGGCCATCGCCAACACCTCCTCGGTGGCCCCCAGGAGCCTCCAGAACGGTGTTTTGGGTCCTGAGAGTGACTTGTGGTGCAGTGGAGTCGGCCCGATCCGTGCCGCACGCCAGGACCAGCAGCTCTGCACCCCAGCAGCGATGTGATCTGTGGGTTCCCTGCTCCACGTGCTCCTCAGGGCTGCCCCTGTCCTTCCCGGCCCCTTCCTGTGGTTGGTGCTGAGCTGGAAGAGGCCTCGTTGGCTCCAAGGGTGGCCCAAAAACGTTTGGGTTTTGTATCCTGGTGGCTTGGGGTCTCCAAAGAGGTCTGGTGGGCGCTTGCCCAACCTCCAACCTGGGGAGAAACCACATCTCTTCCAAGCCAGATGGGAACAAGAAGCTTTTTTCCAACCTCCCCATCGCATTGCTGGGGTCACCGTGCTCCCCTCAACCCCACATCTATAGGGCCAGCCCTCCTCAGGTGCTGGCATCGCATGGTCTGGATAGGAGGGGCCCGCAGGAGCACCCCGTTACGTTTTGAGGTGCCCAGAGGAGCTGAGCCTTTGGTGCAGGAATGGAGTGGGGTGGGCAGCCCCATCTCTGAGGTAAAGGAAGAATTGGGTTCCTCCACCACAGAGCGTGGGGTGGAAGCGCTGCTCCCACCCAGAGGACGAGGAGCAGAGTGGTGGATGGGGATCGGGGCCACCATGGCTTGGTGGGAACAAGAGATGTGTCTGCAGCACACGGCTCTGTCACTCCATCAGCTGAGCGCCGGGTGCCTCGGAGGGGGATGCACAAAGCCTTGGTTACCCCCTGGTGAGGAAAAACCTGTGGGTTCCTCACTGCCATTCCTCCCCTTCCGTCTCCTTGGAGGAGGACGTTGGCCATGGGTCCCAACAGGAGGAGGGTGTTGGTCACGGGTCCCAAGGGGAGAAGGATGTTGGCCATGGGTACCAATGGGAGGACGTTGGTCATGGTCTCCATGGAAGGACGTTGGTCATGGGTCCCAATGGGAGAAGGATGTTGGCTGTGGGTCCCAATGGGAGGATGTTGGTCATGGGTCCCATGGGAGGATGTTGGTCATGGTCCCAATAGGAGAAGGATGTTGGCCATGGGTCCCAATGGGAGGACGTTGGTCATGGTCCCCATGGAAGGAGGATGCTGGCCATGGTCCCCATGGAAGGAGGATGCTGGCCATGGTCCCAGCGTTGTCACCAGAGGTCACGCTGCCGACACGCTGCCGTTCACTTCACTGCACACACAGAGCACGCACAGCACGTGGGTTTCTCCGAAGGTTTTCCCCATCCACTCTCGCTAGGCTCAATTCCTTCCAACGAAACGCGGCGCCGTGTTTTTAAGTACGGTTTCATCTCACTGCACGTCACCACGGTTTCGGATCGGAGCGCAGGAGATGTCCTGAAGGTCCGGGAGGGATTTGGGTCCCCGGAAAAAGGGCTGTGGGGATTTTGGGTCAGGACTCGGCCATGGAGCGGTGGGGCCGTGGTTGGACAGCCCCCAACGTGAGGGGTGGCAATGGGGACACAGCTGGGGACACGGCGTCCTGCAGGAGGTGACACTGGGACTGTGCCCCTCACTGCTGGCACCCAGTGGAGCTTTGCAGTGTCACCACATCCCCGGTGTCCCCTCCCGAAGCACGAGGGCTGCATTGGCCCCATGGCCACCAGAGCACCGGGACGGGGACGCGGGGCACTGAACTCTCAATAGACCACGAAAGCCATATTAGCGCGGAGCTCTGAGCGCCGTGGGGCGGCCGTGGGGCGGAGGACGGGCTGTGTTGTTGTGCTGTGTTCTTGTATGTACATAAAGGGAGACAACGAACGTCGGTGTTACTTTATAACCTTTCTAATATCCTGTGCTAATCTCGGAGAAATAATCCTATGAAATATATCTGGATTACACACCTTCACCCGCCTGCTCATCTCTGCCTCCGCACGTGGCCTCCAGGGGAGAGGGAAAGGGGGGGACGCAGCTCACCCTGCGGAGACCCCGCAGCCCCCAAACCCACCCAGACGCCCCCCATCCCATCCCCACATTCCCAGCCCCTAAGGACGGGGATTGCAAACCTGGCACGGATTTTGCCCCGCACCAGCAGCGCTTCCAAACAAAATTCCAAAGGAACTGCAGTCGTTGTGCCAAGGAATGATCGCTTCCTGCACCAGAAATTACCAGCGCCGCTGCTCGGCGCCTTTACTGGCAGCAGCCGCCCGTTTCCTTCAGCCCTGGCGGAGGGAATTGCTGAGCTGGGGAGGGAGAAAAGGAGGCAGGGAGCTGGGGCAGCCTTTATCACGGCCCTGCAGCCCTTCGCCCCGCAAAGCAGAGCCAGAGCGGAGCTGAGCACTGCACACAGCGCTGCGCGTCCGTTGCTGAGCCCGGAGGCGTTGAGGAAACACCATGGGCAACTGCGTCCCGGGGGTGAGTCCTTCCCATCCTGCGGGGTTCTCCAAAATTCCATTCCTCTCTTTGGAGGTGACCCCATTTCCAGCTCTCACACCCATCGCCTTCCTCCATTCCGCCCCAATTCCCCAGCACCGTGGGGTACCCAGCCCTGACCCCATAGGGAACCCAACCCACGGGGTCCCCAACACTATTGGATACTCAACCCTGACCCCATGGGGTCCCCAACCCCACTGGATACCCGACCCAGACCCCAAGAGTTACCCAACCCGATGGGATCCCCAACCCCACCCCCACTGGGTACCCAACCCTGACCCCATGGGGCACCCAACCACCCCATGTCCCCCAGCCCCAGGTGGGCGCGTAGCAGGGGGTCTCAGAACTGGAAAACACCACTGAGAGGAAGAAAATGGGGTTTTCTTGACTTGGGGTGAACCCACACCCTGAGATATCAGCGCTCCCCACGCCGTCCCTCCCTGATAACACGCGGCACGTGGCCACCGGAGGGGCCAACTCAGTGACACCCCACGGCACCTCCTGTGCTTCGCAGAGCCCTGACATCGTAGCAAACGGAACCTCCTTGAACCTCCTGGACCTCTTCAACTCCTCCTCCAACGAAGATTACGCGGACAACCTCACAGACAGCAACGACGAGGACTTTGCGGCCGCACAGCCGTGCCACAACCACTACTGCCCCTTCTTCCACCGCGCCGCACCGCCGTACCTGATGGCCACCAGCGCCACCTCCTTCGTGGCCACGGCTGCTCTGCTGCTGGCTCTGTCCCTGCGTCCCCACTCCTGGCCCCGCGGCCGCGCGTTTGCAGCCCAGCTGGCCGCGTGCTGCGCGCTGTTCGCCGTCACGTCGCTGCCGACGGCTGCGGGCGTCGCTTGGGGGTGGCAGGCGGGCGAGGGGCCGTGCAGGGCTGTGCTGCTGCTGCGGCAGGGCAGCGTGTTGGCACAGGGGCTGCTGCTGGGCGCCGGGTGCTGCGGTTTGCGGGGCCGCGGTTGGTGCAGGGCGGCGGTGCTGTGGGTGACGGCGATGGCGATGGCGGTGCCGGCGGCGCTGAGCGGTGGCGTGGCGGGGACGGGGCCGAGCACGCAGTGCTTGCATCGCAGCGCGGACGTGGATTCTGCTGCGCATCTGCTGCACCTCGCCGTGTGTTGCTGCGTCCTCCTGCTGCTGCCCGCAGCGCTGCTGACGGCTGCGGCGCTGCGGGGGGTGCGGGGTGAGATGGGGAGCGGGGTGGGGTGGCTGTTCTGGGTGCTGTGGGCTCCCCACGGGGTGGCGATGGTGGTGGAGCTCCTGTTGGAGGTGGGGGTGATGCCGACCGACTGCGGCGTCTTTGAGAGCTTTGATTTTGCATTGGGGCTGAGCGCGGCGCTGGGGGGGCTTCACTGCTGCCTCGTGCCCCTCGTGCTGCTCCTCAGTGCCTTCTATGGTCACAAAGGGGGGGGAGAGTGCTGAGCGCCCCAAAAGGGCACCCACAGCCCCGTCCCACAGCCCCACGGGTGGCCCCGATGGCCCTGGGTCACATCGCTCCCCCTGCACCCATTGCTTCCCCTGCACCCATGGGTGCCGTTGGCCTTTAAGCTCCCTGTGGGTGGCACAGTTCCCCCCGAACCCCACAAATGCTATTGCTCAGCACCCATGGGTGCCCTTCAAACACCCCAGGAGTGGCAGTG